CCTACAGGTGTAATCATAGAGGGAATATCCTCTGATTGGCAGAATAACTAACTGATAACAAACTCTGGGAGATATCATGGAGGGAATATCTTCTGTCGACAGAATCACCCTCTCTGTGTGTAACTAATTCTGAGGCTCTGTCGCCTGTCCTTTCTGCTTCCTTGATTACTGCTGATGGGTAGTGGCCTGCTCCACTCCCTGTGTTGGGTTTGGGGAAGGTATTTGGGTCCCAACACATTCTCTGTAGCATACATGCCATTTTTGAAGGTGCTGTCACCTTTTTGTCTGTCTGGTAGATCATACATTGTTCTTTTTTACAAATAATAGTAATACCATTGGGTGAAACATTGTACATATTATCCTGTATATGAAGAGATTTGAATTCGACTTTTACTGTTTTAGTAGCTTGTCTGGGAGGAAAAATAAAAACTGCAAGGCAATGTGTGGTTGTTAGTGATTGATTACGATCAATCAGAAAAAATAAAAAGACATAAGAAAATTCTATGTTTTAATGCTATGGGAAATCTGTTTAGTGTGGAGCCTCAACAGTAGTTAGTTTTCCTTTCTGATTATTTCTCTTCAACTTGCAAAGCTTTTGCCACAATAAACATTTATAGCAGGTTCATTGATCATTATGTACTAACTAATTTGTCCAACCATTGCTCAAAAGAATCTTTTCATTTTTCCAGGTGTCTCTTTTGCTTCTACAATACTATGATCCGCCAATTATTGCCTGTGCTGTTAATGAACTCTTGGCATCAATAATGGGAGAAAACTCTTCCTCCATGCTCACACTCATACTCCCATTTCTTGTGGCTGCATCAAAGCTTGAGAAGGAAATGAAAAGTTCAATACCGGGTAACCACAAAGTTGCATTGTCTGGTGTTCAAATAGGTCCAGAGACAGATTTTACTCGGGCCATGATTGCTAGAATCCAGAAGGCACCGCCTTCATTACAGATTCATTATGAACCTCTGGCTTGCTTGCTTCAGTTGGTCCGTGTCTTGAAGCTACCAAGTTTTCTTCTCATTGGACCAACTGCTCAACACCAATCCAAAAGAACTCCTGATGAAGACATTGAGGTATTCATTCTTCAATCATCAATTTTGTTTTCTTTTAGAAAATTCACCCTTTTCTATTAATATTTAATATTGCCAGTGAGAAACTTGAAGTTCAGGGATTATTTAATTTTTTTTTCGATAAAAGGTAAAGTATTTCATTAACAGAAGACTGAAAAAAGATCCAGCCTTGCCCACTGAGGAACTGAGCAAGGCAAAGCTTTGTACAACTCAGAAAAACCAAAAAAAAAGAACATCATACAAAAAGATTTCTATACTCCAAAAAAGAACTATAAGGACAATTCTTGAACAGTTTGTGCGTTGCCACCCAGGAGTGTAACCTTCTCCAAATGCTTCTTAAGACTTCCTCCTATGATCTCAACTGATTTTCAAAGAGTCTCTTGTTTCTTTCCAACCAGATTGACCACACCACCACCGCTGGCAGCACCTTCCATACAATCTTACCTCTTCTCRATAGACCCCTTAGACCCCAACCCTGTAACAGATCCAATACATTCCTTGGGAGGCACGACTGAACTCCAATAACCTCTAACATTTTCATCCAAATTACCCAACTAAATCTGCAGTGCAGGAAAAGATGCTCCAACTTTTCGGAGTTGTTGCCACATAGGACACATCTACTTGGTTCTACTACTCAGCCTCTCTTTGTCAGATTGCCAGCTGTTAAGCACTTCCCTAAGGCTGTCACCCATTTATAGAAGGAGACTTTTAGAGGAGCCACCGTCCTCCAAATGAGGTCTTTGGGAAAATTATCTTCCTCCCCCCTGCAAAGGCTGCTGTAAAAAGATTTGACTGAGAAACTACCTGATTTCTCCTTTGCCCAAATCCTCCTGTCCCCCCTTGTTCTATCTGCCCTTGTCGCGCTCAGGATCTACATCAACTCCTCCCATTGTTCCACTTCCCAATCATTCAGGTTCCTTCTAAAACTGGGACACCATACACCTGCCCCTCCAACCTGAGAAAACACCTCCGACACCAAACACTCCTTGTTGATGGAAATATCAAAGAGGGTTGGGAATCTGTCCTTAAGAGGGTGATCCCCGCACCAGACCTCCTTCCAAAATCTGACTCTAGAACCATCTCCTACTTCCATTCTTAAACCTTGTCTGAAATCCTTCTCTGACTTTTGAATACCCTTCCAGACCGCACATTCATAAGATAAATTTGATTCCCCTGGGTCCCAATTTGAGTTCCTTGAGCCATACTTATCCTCTATTACTTTTCTCCATTGACTTGTGGTCTGCTCATTCCACCTCCAATACCATTTCCCAAGACAAGCCAAATTAAACTTTCTCACATTCCTTAAACCCAAGCCTCCCGCCTTTCTAGATTTACAAGCTTTACTCCAACTGACTAAATGGAATTTAAGCTCATTGTTAGGAACTGCCTAACTCAGGGACTCTTTCGAAGGAGCCTGCCTCCATAATGAGAGAGAGAGAGGTTGTATTCCCAATTCAATAATCGATTCTGTTATAACACTGCTGTTATTTATACATTGCTGTTACAATTCTGTTATACCAGCCTCTCCACTTGTCCAGTCCACTTGTCTAGTTTGTTATTTAGTTTGTTCTAGTGGTTGGCTGTTA